CAAATTATAATAAATAACAGTAATAGCACTTTTGGACAACGCAGGAGGGCCATTTTGGGCTCTAAGGGGGCCTGGTTGTCTGATGTACCCACTTCAAAGCATCTAGTTTTTGTTCTAGCTACTACTTAGTTAAAACATTTGTATAAACATCCTGAAACAACTGCGAGCAGCTTGCAACCCGGGCAAGAATACGAAGGAACAACAACACCAAAAAAAAAAAAAAAACCACAGCACTAAAATGAAAAGAGAGAGAGAAATCTCTGTGCCCAAGTTCCTGGGAAATGGGCTGTATAAATACAGCGATAGAAGGCTTGTTCTGGGATTAGGAGGAGGTGCAATAAACCTAAATAAATGAACAGCTACTGCATGAGGTAAGGGATACCACCAGGCGCAAAGATAAAACTTTAACCATGTGGGAGGGACTGTTTTGACTCTAATATCCCAGGCCTGAGTTAGCTACACAACCTTTTACAAAGTCTGCACCACTATTACTCTTAACCTTCTCGTCACTTCTTATCTCCCCTCTCTTTCCACTTGTGACTGTATGACTGTGACTTTGTCGCTTGTATCCTTACAGTTTATATTGACTGTTTCCTAGTATGATTTGATTGCTTATTGTACCCTATGACTGTTATTAAGTGTTGTACTTTATGATTCTTGACAAATGTATCTTTTCTTTTATGTACATTGAGAGCATTTGCACCAAGACATATTCCTTGTGTGTCCAAGGAATTATGTCACACTTGGCCAATAAAGAATTCTCTTCTCTTCTCTTCTTTCTATTTTCTCTTCTATTCTAGTTTTATTTCTATTCTATTCTTTTCTATTCTGCATTCTATTCTTTCTATTTTCTGTGCTATTCTGCATACTACTTTATTCTATTTTCTATTCTAATTCTATTTTCTTTTCTATTCTAATTGGGGTAACTGCCGGAATACTGACACCTAGTATGATTTGATTGCTTATTGTACCCTATGACTATTATTAAGGTGTTGTACCTGATGCTCCTTGACTCTTGACGAATGTATCTTTTCTTTTATGTCCACTGAGAGCATTTGCACCAAGACAAATTCCTTGTGTGTCCAATCACACTTGGCCAATAAAGAATTCTATCTATCTATCTATCTATCTATCTATCTATCTATCTATCTATCTA